AGGCACTACACATCAAGAAGTCAACACCAGCAATCAACAGCCAATTAATGCACAACTATATTCTACCCACTTCAAGACTCCGCACCAATATAGAAGCATCAAGAAATATGGGCCAATAGGCCCTCTGCAGTTAATTCCATTCTTCCCTTTAACTTACCCAATATTATACCCATTGTTTCGTGTTCTGTCTTATGTTGAAAGTTTGTTTTCACTTCATCCAAAACTGTTGTAACATATCACCTCACCCAAATGCAGGTATATAAAATGAAAGCCGTTTAAATTATAGCATATTAGAACTTGTTTAGTGTTTACAGGTTATAGTTGTGTGTGTGTAAACTAAAGTCTTTGAAAATGTAATAAGTTATTACGAAACGCGTTCAAAGTGTCGCGTCAGACTAGAAATAAAAATTAATTTTGGAGAATTGATTTTTCAATTACCATCGACAGTGAAAAGAAACATAAGAAATATTGAGAAAATTCGTGTTAGAATTATTAATCTTACTTTTTCGGTCATATTTAATAAAATAAATTAAATAAATAAATAAATACACACACACACGCGATAAGTCTAGTGTATAGCAGTAGCCTAATGTCATGGAACTTGAAAATCATCCTTGTATGTAATGCTACATAAATGCTGTATAGGTACCCTTATGTGAACCATGATGGTGAATGTACAGTATACATATAGTTTTCAGTTGTATTACTCACTTGTATACTGTATACTTTCCATTTCATGTTTGTTCCTTGCAGTGTCCTATTGTCATGACATTTACCGTGATTATGGCACTGTGAAATGTTTTCCACCTAGACAAGCTTGTGATACACTTGCTGTATATATCTACTTCATTTTATATTCATTGTATACATGTGTATTGGCAGTTGGCTGACGTCTTTGAATCCTCCCTGTCCCCCCCACCCCCTTCTCCCCTTTGATGTTACCGACATTACCGTCACAAGCAGTGTTGCTTGTGACCACAGCATCGCCTAAAAATGCCATAATATACATTTGCATGCTATTATTTAGCGATGATATTATTACAGAAGACCCCTGACTGTGATAAAAATGACTAGGATTCTGATAATAGCAGGATTGTTGTGATAATTAGCGCTGTAGTGGGAGGAGTAATTTTGGTGGGGAGGGAGGTAGCGTTGTCTGCTGACTCTGTGTGACCACCGTTTACTGTCTGGACTCACTATACCAGCTTAGTTATTTGCTATGGTAAACAAAACATGCAGATACTCATATATAACGTCTGTATATAAAAGCAAAAACAGTATGGTGGGAGGAGAATAGTGACGATTTCAGGTGAGGTGAGGGAGGGAGGGAGGGAGTGGCAGCCAGTGGCGGGCTGCCACTAGCTGCCACTGCCACTGCCACTGCCACTGAGCATGCCAACTTAGTGGTTCGTTATGATGAACACGAATGTAGATACTTATATATAACGTCTGTATATAGTGAATAAAAGCTAAAACAGTATGGTGGGAAGAGAATGTGGGCGAGTGAGGTGTTGAGGGAGTGAGTAGCAGCGAGTGGCTGGCTGGTGTGTGGCGGTCACTCCTCATTGCTTTTTGACTCATAATAGCAACTTAGTGGTTCGTTATGGTGAACAAAACATGCAGATACTTATAGATAACCTGTGTATATAGTGTAATAACCGACAAAGTATTTGTTCACTGCTTGATGAACATAATAATTTAGTCAACAATATGTACACCATATTTTTGAGTACAGCGATGATTAATTCATTTTATTATATAAATATATCACACTAAACACTATTAAATAATATTACAGCAAAAAAACTACGAAAAATCAGAGACATTGAAATAACTAGGTAATTATCTCTTTGTGGCCACTCCTGCCTGACAGCTGGCGAGCAACAGACCGTCTGGGACGCACGCTGAGTCAGCGCCTGTTTTTTTTCCAGACTTCCTCACCCTATAGTGGGCAATATATGCCACCTACAATTTTTTTATTATTTTCCCCATGATCAGAGAACACAAATTAACAGGTTTAGAAGAATTTTTTTTTTTTTGGTATGCGCCTGTGGGTGACAAATGCTAAATAGCTCGGAGCCACACAAGGGTTAATATTATGCCAGTAAACTGGAATATTTGTTACTAGCCTTTCTCTCCCCTAGAACATTGATATATATATTTGGCCAGACTGTGTGTTCCAGTGATGCTGTAGGTTACTCCCTTTTAACCATTAAGTGGAGGTTCTAGTTCGTGACTCATTCCTCCATAGTCCATACCATAACATATATATATATATTTATGGGGGCACAGATCGTGATCCATAAGTCATAACATATGGACCCACAATATTACCTCAAGATTTTTTTTTATTCTGTGCAAGTTTGAGCAAATATTATTTTTCTCCAAAATATTAAAATGATGAAACAAACCTTTATAAACAGAAGTAATTTGCCCTGAATATATAATAATGCATAATAGTGGAATGAAGGAATTAGCTTTTCTTTATGTTATCCTTAGATAAAAATAATGAAGAGATAACGATAATAAACTTCCAGGAAGAGCAACAGCAGTAAAGAAAATTACACAAACTTGCAATACATTTTACTACAAAGTACACAACAAATTCAGTAGGGGGTGAGCTAGTAAAGTTTGCCCTGGGGATAGGATTGTCCGCACCAAATATCTTGAGACAAATCCACAGTGTTCAGCAGATCTAAGCTGATGGACCAAAATTTAGAAATTAGCAATATCAGAATTTGAGAGGATCATAGTATACATGACCAAGATGCTAGCCAAAAGCAGTTGTCTGAACTTGTAAACTTGTTACGGATATAGCAGAATGTGTCTCAGTGATTTCTGAGAGTTTTGAATGCAGAACAGTTTTACTAACATCCATTAACACTTTCGCGCTCTCGGCGCTCAAAAAAAAACAATACCCCAGATGCTTTCGGCACTTCGCGCGCCTACGCGGTAAGACCGAAAAAGTGTACACTCTTTTGACTGTGCTGACAATAATTGAAGGCGCACGTATTTAAATTTGGTATCACTGTGTTCGCAATGAAATTGTCTATAAGAGCATACCTATAAAATGCTGCCCAAGCATAAGGAGTATCAACACCAAATAAAAAACTATGCAGATCACTCGCCGAGAGCGCCAAACAGCAACAAAATGTTTCCACTCTCTTAATGGTTGCGAAGCCTACAGTTGTCCTACATCACTAATTTTGGTATCATTGGAATCGCAATAAAATTCTCTACACGGACATATGCATATGAATGTTTAATATAGGTAATTGCCCACCCGCAAGAGTGTGCGAAGTGGAGAGTAGTTAGCCGCGAGCGCACTGGCGAAAACACAGGGGGGAAATCATGCTTGGAAAGTTTATACGTTTCCTGACCCTACTTTTCTATGTACGTATTTCTTTTTTATACCAATGTGTTCGCAATAAAATTTTCTATAAGATTAACTGTATAACATTTGTACAAAGCATGTGTAAGAGAAGCGCCAAATATAGAACCACGTCGCTCAGTATGCGTTCGCGGCAGAAACGAACGCATTGTTTTCGTTTGTTTGATGTTTGTCATGTTTATACTTGTTGAAACATTTTATAATTTGTATGACAGTGATCGCAGTAAAATTCCCTACACAGACATATACATAACACATACAAATATTTCCCACGTGTTGGATATATCAACGGCTAAAGGGAACCCACTGCCACACGCTCGCCACACCCCCAAACATACTTTGTGTATTTTTTTTTTTACTCATAGAAGTTTATGTGATATAATATTCATTCTGGTACCAACAAATTCGCAAATAAATTCTCTACAAAACAAAAGTATCCCCATCCATTTCGGTTAAAAAATGGAATTTATAGAAATATTTTTTCGATGGACGAGAAAAGTAGGCTGTTATGCGGAATCGTAAGAAAAAACGGCGACGAGTTATCTCTAATCTAAAGCGCGAAAGTGTTAAGAGTAGCTGCTGTGATTGTTTAAGATTGCAAGTCCTCCTATAACAACATGTGCTTGTTTATACAGTGTCTTGAATCTAGTGCTTGCAGTATGAGTCTTCATTACTTAGGGAATTATCTCATGATTAATGTCATTTTGTACCTCCCTGGTTACAAAATCTGATTTTTTCCTCTTCAAAGATCAATTTCATAAATAGGAAACAATAATATTCATTTACTTTTATATATAAAAATAATATATAATTTGAAAATTTTGTTGATAAAAGTATATTTTTATAATGAATATGCTGTACTTTTTATGCTATTCCCTATTATCCACTAGTTTTTATTAACAGTTTAAAAGGGTGGGGCAAACTTGTATACTCTACAGAGAGGAGCAAAAGGGTGGGGGAGATACAAGCCAATGCCCAGTTGATGAGAAGTTTACGTACTGGAAGCAAGTTCTTGCCTTCATCTTCTGGGGGGGTAAAATCCTTCAAGAGTCAAGTAGAGAGAAAGATTTGGGGGTTGGCATCACACCGAGCATGTCCACAGAAGCCCATATCAAAAGAATATCATCAGTGGTGTATGCTAGATTGGCTAACATAAGAACTTCCTTTAGAAACTTGAGTAAGGAATCATTGAAACCTTATATACCACATATGTCAGACCAATCCTGGAGTATACATCCCCAGCCTGGAGTTCATACCTAGTTAAAAAAAAAGGACAAAGTTGAAGAAGATTCAGAGGTGTGCCACCAGACTAGTCCCAGAGCTGAGAGGTATGAGTTACAAGGAAATGCCATGGAAATTAAACCTCACGTTCCTGGAAGACAGAAGAGTTAGGGGAGACATGATCACCAACAAAATTCTCAGAGGAATATATAGGGTGAACAAAACAAGCAACTGTATTTAGCACGGGTGGAACATGAACAAGGGGACACAGGTAGAAATTTAGTGTCCAAATGAGCCACAGAGACAGAAGAAAGAATTTTCTTCAGTCAGGGTAGTTAACAGATGGAATGCACTAGGAAGTAATGTGGTGGAGGCAGACTCCATACACAGTTTCAAATGTAGATATGATAAGAGCCCAATAGGCTCAAGAACCTGTACACTAGTAGATTGACAGTTGAGAGGCAGAACCAAAGAGTCAAAGCTCAAACTCTGCAAGTACAACTAGGTGATTACCTTGCTCAAATTCAAAATATGCAGTGGCCTTATATATGGATTAGTTGTAGCCTAGGCAAAAGGCTGCAAAATGAGTATGCGCTAATGTCATTTGTCCAAAACTGTGATATCCAGAATGCCAAATAATTGTTGTGGCTGACCAACTCTCCCCTATATATTCATTCTCCACTAGTGCTGATACCAGCAACTGCATTTATCAATGTATTGTTTTTCAAACTAAATAATTCTTACATAAACTTTTGGGAAAAAATGCAGTTATAGTAATTAATAACTTGGCTAAATTCACCTGTTACTTAGAATTCATATGGCCAAAATTATTTCCAGAACTGATCAGATTTAGAAGGGAATAGTTTTTGAGTTCTCTTTTTCTCTAATCTTCATTCCAAGGGGTTTTATGCTGCTAACTGGAGCCCTCACTCTTCTCCTTTTCGTCTGTGTTTTCGTTCTCTTTCTTTTCAGACTGATCCGTGTCTTTCTTATCTCCCTTTTCCTTTTCCTTACGAGCGTGACTCTCGTAAGAGCTTCTGGCATGCTGAAGGGCTGACTCAACACGAGAGGCAGTTTCCCTGAAAGCATCCGGTAGGTCGGGAAGGTCAGGAAGGTCGATGGAGGTGATGTGGGAAGAGAGGCGCTTGTACATGCTCGGCTCCCGTTGCTTCCTGTAGAAAGAAGAAAAGAAAATGTACATACAGTATTGTACTAAGATTATCAACTGAAGTTAGGCCAAGAGTTGGTCTTTCAATAATTGTTAAATGTTCATGAATAATTACAATATTAGCAACATATATTTCCAATTACAGTAATCTATCTATTGTGCATCACAAAACTGTCATTAAATAATGTGCAATACTGGAAACCACATTCAAGGCATGTATTGAATAAAACAAATATCAAATTATGCACTTAAAAATGATTAATATGATATTTGAACACTGTTCACCCCACAGTAAGATCTGGATACATACATTTTCAGTATGTCGACATACACAGTAGGTATACTCAAGGAACTGCTCGAGAGGCTATCTAAGGTATGAAGCAACTGTAGTGTATCAAATGACAAGTAATGACAATCGTCTGGTAAATAAACTTAGCAAATGTGTCAGTTAATTGGATATATGAATGTACTGGGTACAGTATCATATGTATCACTGGCATTATTAATGGATAACTAGGAATGCTAAAGTTACTATTTTTTAGTTAATACTTATTATATACACAGTGAGCACTACTGCTATATATCATTCATAAATATTTGTTAATATTTGAATAAACAAAAAACCAGTATTGAATGTAATGAAACACCATTTTCTGGGTGAGCCCTAGAGGCTCCCTGGAGCTATCGGACTGATATTAGCTATACAGTATTAGTCTGCAGGTTCAGTCATATGGAGTTCTTATGCCTTCCAGGAACCACTAGCCAGAACCTGATTCCTTCAGAGAGGCGAAGGGAGCAGTGGCCTATGAAAACTCCACTCTTCGAGACTATATTCATGTCTGCCATTGACAAGGGTTAGGCACCCAGAAAGGTAGGAACCCCAAAACAGACCCCAACTGGTAGAAAATTGCAACCCAAGACCGAACAGAGCCCAAGAAGTCCCCCCAAGAAAAACAAGGTAACAAGCAAATCGTCATGAAACCGAAGCGGCGCTCATTCGCTTCCCCCCCCCCCCCTCCACAGGAGAGAGAGAGGGAGGCCCCACCCACCCGAGCCGGCCACCTGCTCACCAGTTCGGACACTGAGCAAACGGAAGAAAAACCACTGACCGGAGGGCGGACGGGTGCCAGGGAAAGGGTGAAAGGGAAGGGTGCTCCAGAGCTCACCCAGAAAACCAGCGTTGAATGTAATGAAATGCCATTTTCTGGGTGAGCTCCAGAGGCTCCTTGGGGCTTACCAGGCTGAAATTCTAATTCTAGTCTACTGGGGACCATGAGCCAGAACCTGGCCCCCTCAGAGAGGCATGAGGAGCAATTGTCAATAGAACCCCCCCCCCCCTATGTGGTTGGAAGCATTCTATGTCTGCCATTTACCGGGTTAGGTACACAGAGAGGTAAGCATCCCAAAACAAACTACAGCTGGTTAAAATTGTGACCAAAAACCGAACTAACAAGCAGAACTCCCCAAACTGAAAACAAGCAAACAAACATGATGTCACCATTGCCGCCATGTCACTGTCTGTGCAGCTCTCCCATGTCGGCTATCCTACCCCAGTTCAGAGGCTGAATGTGAAAAGTGCAAAAATTGCTGACTAGAATGAGGGAGGGAGGGTTGCTGAGGGGCCTCTGAAGCTCACCCAGAAAATGGTGTTTCATTACATTCAACGCTGGTTTTCTATGCGAGCCACTCCGGCTTCCAGAAGCTACCTAACCAAAGATAAGAAAAAGAGAGGCCTACCTAGGAGGCAGTTGCCACTCGCTCCTGAACTCGAAGTCGAAACAACTGGCTGCAATCTGGGACCCAAGGTTACACATGCCCGGGTAGGGCCATGAACATTAACAAGGTACTGTGTGGCCAGGAACACTAACAAGGTACTGTGTGGCCAGGACCCTGTTCAACCGCCAAAAACCCTGTGCCCGATGTCAGCTCAAGACATGTTACCAAAAACAGTAGCCAAAGCCACGAACTTATGTACGTCGTGGGCACGGAGATAGACCGCAGGCTGGCTGGACCGCCATGCTGATGACCTGGGAGACCCGTGTCCTGGAACGGTGAAGAAGTGAAACTGGGTCCATCCAGAGCACGTACCCAGCCACCGAGGCCGTGGCGAGCAAGTAACGGCGAAGAGTCGTGACCGGACACAAAACATGATGCACCCCTAGCCCAACCAACCAAGCATCAGCAACCCTAGGACCCCTCCAGAAAGCAGCAGTCTCATTCTTTGCCAGAAAAGGAGACAGCTGCAAAGGAACAAACTTACCACCAGGACCGAAAGAGCAGAAACCCCTGCGCCGGAGGAGAGCATGAAGTTCCCCGACCCGACACCCAGAGGCCAATGCCAACAAGAAAAAGAGCTTTAGAAAAACCATCCAGAACCGAAGGGGCCACCACAAACCGAGGGGAAGAGAGAGAGAGAGAAAAAAAAAAAAAGAGTACCTAGTCCAACAAACAGGAAGGCTCAGGCAGTGCATGAGCAGACCAGAGGTGAAACAACACACGAGAAAGCTTACAGAACAGAACAGAAGTGACATCCACCCTGAACGCAGCTGAAGCAACTCCATCAGTGCCGCACGATATGAGGCAACAGTATTTGGAATAAGATGACGGTCTTGAAACGGCCAAGAGAGAAAGGACAAAACAACCCAATCAGAAATCAAAGACAATCTATGAATAGACAAAAAGTAACGAAAGGACCGCCAGGAAACTTCATACTGCCCCCGAGACGAAACACACAGGTGGGACACCATACACGAAGCCACCTGATCAACATAAAAGTGGTGATAAATCCACATTAGTAAGACCATACGCAAAGATCGGAGGAGAAGATCGAACCAGCCACGTACTGAACTGGAGCGATCGGCTGAAAAGAGGCAGAACCGCGAAAGAATCCCGGGTTTGGACACCGAGCAAGCAAAAAGCCAAGGCTTTGCCAGCCACCAAGGGGCCAACAGGACTACTCTTCCCTGGTAAGTCTCCAACCAAGCCAGAACCTGAAGCAACAGCAGGACTGGGGAAAAGATGTACAGGTGACTCCACCTCGATGTGTCCTGCTGAAGGAACAGGTAATCCAACATCGACTCCGACGTTTTCGTAGTCGGGAAAGGGTGCCACATATATACCGGGAGACGCCTCGACCACACCAACACGAAGAGGTCCACTGCCGGGTGCCTGTATGTCCGGCAGAGCCAACTGAAGGAGTCGGCGTTGACCGTCCATTCCGTGGACAGAGGAATGAACTGGGACAGGCTGTCCGCCAGGATGTTGGACACTACCTGGATATGAACCTCCCGGAGAGCCAAACCCCGAGAAACCAGAAGATGAATCACCCGAAGCAACCAGCCACAAAGAGCCAAGGACCGCATTGAACCCCATGCGGTTCAGACAATGAACCACTGTACTGGGGAGCAATCAAAATGGAGCCAGATCGTAGATCCACGAGTGATGCAAACCCTTTAAAGTGAAAGCCACACTGCCGCAAACTCCAGACCCGTGCAGTGAGCCCGACAGAAGGACAGACCCCACCGTTCCTTGTCGGCCTGGTGAGCACTGGTCACAAATCCCCAGCCGCGAGACGATGCATCTGTGAACAAATCGAGTGAGGGCTCGGGTAGGCGCCATGGCACTGAACCCCGAAAAATCCAGACCATTCCGTCCTTGGACAGAATGGTCATCCGAAAGGAGGGGCAAAAAATCCACTGGTTCAGATAAGACAAGTCCAGAATGAACCGCAGGACTGCACAGTCCCGTTTCAGAACTAGAAACAGGCAGGAAACCCACTTGAGGGACACTGTCGTTCAGACCACACCCAAGCAAACCTATTCCAGGATGACCCGACAGAGCGCAGGGGAAGAGGCCTGCCCTGCCAGCCCCAATCCCTCCGAAGGAGAAGGAGCCACCCAACGCCACCACAGGCTAGAGAAAGCGACCCAAAACCCCCACAAATTGTGGGACAAGGCGAGAGCAAACAGTGCGGGCTCCCCCGCCCCCTACATTGCCCCATCAATGAGGTGAACTGCGAAAAGGCGGACGACCCTTACGAGAGCCCAACCGACACTCGGAGTGATCATTGTGCCGACCAGACACTGACGGCTTTGAAGTAGGGGCCAGCCCCGAATCCTTGGCACAGCCCTTCCAGGCAGGACCACCACAGCCCCTTCTTCCCTTCCCCCAGAGAATCAACAAGTTCAACATAGGCCAGCAACTAGATGAAGCTGCCTGCAGAAAATGCACCATCACAGACTCTGTAAACAGCAACGGACAAAAAGAGGATGAAAATTTAAGAGCCAGGGGCCCAAACAGATTCTAAAGAGTGGACAAGCACTGCCTGCTGGCACGCAAGGCACGAAGAAAAGAACAGACACACTGCTTTCTTCAGAATTGGCGCAAATAACTTCAACAAGGCAGCCGACACCCGAGCCGCCGATGCAAATGCACCGGATGCAGGCCCGGAATCTAGCTCCTCCACATCCTCCTCAAGCCAGTCCGAAAACAGCTCCAGCAGGAAAAAGAAGTGCAAGACTGAAGCCAAATGCCCACGGGCGTGCAAATCCTCGGCGACCAGGGACGCCGAAAGGGAACCTGCACGTGAAGCTGTACCTGGCTGATATCACGAGGAAGCACAGGAGCGAATAAGCAATGCACTGAGGGATCAAACTCGCCCCCCCCATGTAAACCTGAATGGCCGTAGTCAACTCCCGCCACTCAAGCGTGCAGGTCCGACAGAACGCATGCAATGCCCTCAATGAAAAGAAAGGGCAGTTCCCCAACCAGGAAGACACAGCACCTCATAATGCACTCAGTAAGGAAAAAAGGAACCAAACTCAAAAGAAGAAGGATCCATTATCGAGGCGTAATCAGGGTCTTGCAGGAGATAAGCCACAAGGGCCTCCCGCACCTCCCTCGGTGGGATGCGGGAAGCCGAAAACATCTGGAAGGAGGGAACTGAGGAACCCAAGGGAACCCGGAACTGAGGAACCCAAGGGAACCCGGAACCGAACCCCGGGA